TTCTCTGGGCAACCTGTCCCAGTCCCTCACCACCCTCTGAGGGAAGAATTTCTTCCTTATATCCAATCTAAATCTCCCCTCTTCCAGTTTAAATCCATTGCCCCTTGTCCTGTCACTACACACCCTTGTCCCAAGCCCCTCTCCAGCTTTCCTGTAGCCCCTTTAGGCACTGGGAGGCTGCAATAAGATCACCCTGGAGCCTTCTCTTCTCCAGGCTGCACAGCCCCAACTCTCCCAGCCTGTCAACCACCCATAAGGGTCTAACAAGGCACAGACAAGGTATCTGTAAGTCACCGAATTCCCGGGCTATACAGCAATGCTTCTGGGAATTATGCTCCTTGTCTGACCACGGCTCATGCTATCTGCTCCCACCGACATCTGAAAAAACTCGCGGGGTGCTTGCCAAGTTTGCAAGACGCGTAATCCCAGTACAGAGTGGAACAGCAAAACGCCTCCATTTCCCTGCTGAAGGAAGGCCACAGCAGCACTTGTACCAACCAGCTCCTGTCCCTCTTGTCCTTGCAGCCAGGGACAGCAGCAGCCCTTGGAAGACACTAATTCAGTCCCTCATGGGGAGGCAACAAACCAGCAGCAAAGCAAGGGTGTATTTCTGGACACTTGGAAGAAGACACTAAGGGAAGCCTGAGGCCGTTTTGCAACAGCATTTGCCTGGGGATCAGGTTTCTCAGCGTTCTACTTGGGCCTCTTTCCAAGCTGCCTAATGATCTCCAAGCACCAGCCGCACTCCAGAGTTTTGCTGAATAATCTCATGTTTCTTCCTCCAGAATCCACAATATGGATCCCTCGCCAATAGCTGAAGAAACTGCACCAGAGGCTGCTGTGACTTTGCACTTTACAATGGGTTAAAGGGTGTAGAGGAAGCCGGAGTCATCCCCCACCTTCACACCAGCAGGCTTTTCCCAGTATGCCGCAGATCACCTCCCACTAATGTACACTACGGGGTGATGCTGAGACTCGACACATTTAAGTACTCCAGCTAAAAGCTAGGTTTACCATCTCAGGAAGTTCTCTTGGAAAGTAGTTATGATCTCGTTATGGATGATTGCTCCAGTGTTTTGCAAAGTGTTCTTTACGAAAAAAAATAACTACAGCACAAAATGTCTCTGTAAAATCACTTATGCTACTAAATCTTTTCTAAGAAGAGATCACTAGATGATAAAAAAGGAAAGATAGAGCTCATGGCTCAGCTTATCTTTGAAATAAATTCTTATTGTGAGAATTCTCCTCCTGAGCATTTTCCTAGCAGGAAAGTGATAATTTTAAGTTTCTTCTTCCAAGGAGTCCCTGTAAAAGTACGGGCGAAGAGTAAATAACTCAACCTACACACATTCTCAAAACTCTACCACGACCAGAGCCTACAGTCCCAAGTCAGAGGAGATGCTCGAGGAAACCACATCACCCTGAGCCACCAACTTCAAGACAGACTCTCTGCAACCACATTCACCTGCCTGGTGTCAAAGCCCTGCTGTTAGCACACAGCACAAACGACCACGTAAAACTTGGATCTGCAGTATGGAATTTAGCCAACTTCTGCCACGTTCATTCTCCCAGGAATCCCTGGGCACTAACACAGTCAGCCCCAAATGTATTGTCTGGGGAGGAACAGAGGGGTGATGTAAGCCTCAGCTTACAATGGAAGTTGTAACAACTACGAGTTTTACTACAATTATCTTTCAAGGTTGGCTTTTGGGGGGTCTCAAAGCCACCGCCACAAACTGCTGGATTTAATATAAGTATCAATGAGTGAAACAAATAGATGTCACTCGAAGTTGGACAATACTTTGTGATAATGCTAATTGAAGACATTTCATTAAAATCACTCAAGCTGAAGCAGTGCAATTTTGGGGACTAGTTGAAAGCGAGGCCGAGCCACAGCTCAAACCCAAAAACCACACAGAAACTCATGGCTCCTCCATCAGGTGCTCACAGCAAAGTTTGTCAGAGGTGAAGTTAATCACTTTAATTAAAATTTCTTACCTTAACTTCTGCGGCCATTTTATCATTTGCAAATCCATCCACTGTTAGCTGAAGGAAAGAAATATTGACCTGGTGTAAGCACTTGGCATTTCAAATATAACAGTCTAGTTTTGGTCATGCCCGTGAACAGGACTATTCTCACAGCCATACATACCTTTATTAATCTGGATATTAAGAATCCACCTTGGTATCGATTATAAAGTTCCTCCCAATTGTCCCTTACGAATTTCCAAGCAGCTTTCCTGCCCTGCTTGCTGCCTCCAGCTACTCCACCAATAACAGATACCGTGTCCTGGGGACGTACCTCTTCCTGGAGATGAAAACGTAGACGAGTATTCAGCAAACACAGCGTGTTGGCTGTATGCATTCCTACACTGAATTGGCATTTCTATGCCAAATCTGCCAATAATAGCTCCCCCCTTCAAAGATTTAATCATTCTATTCCTCCTATTCTAGAGCATCATACGCTCACAGTGCGCCGAACGCACTTGTCATTCTCACCAGGCAAAGAAGCAGCAGCTTTTCCAGTAACTTACTGAAAGTGCAAAGGTGAGAACTTTTTGAATCAGTTCTGGTTGAGAGATGGCTCCAAGAACTCGTTCAATTCGGTTCTTCTCCTCCTGCATGTCTGCTTGCTTGTGAAGCTTCAAAGCCAAAGGGAATAATATTACCACATGGTGTTAAATGCCAACTTCTCACGTAGCACTACTGAGCTTGCTCTACACACTGGATTACTCCTCAAGCCCAATATGTGACAAATTGAACTGGTTCATGAATCATCCTGCAGCTGGGCACATTATGGACCTCGTTACGCGTACATCAGCAGCAAGCACCACTAGTAATAAACTGATCTTCACCACTGATTATATAAGGTCAAGTAGGACCGTGCCTCCAAGCAATGAAAAATAATCCTAAAATGAGAGATGCCACGATCCACTAGATGGCAATTTCACACTATCCACGGAGCAAGGAACTCCCTAACGAAACCCTTGTGTTGGCATCGGCTGTAAAACATCGCACTGAGCCCGTGTGCAGATAAACTACAGCTCAGGGGAATTTGTAGGGTGGAATATTGAGCTTTTCGTTGTGTAAGCAACAGTGGGCACTCACCTTCAGCATAGTGTCTAAAGTAGTACTATCTCCATGCTTCAACACAGTTACATATACCTAAAATAGAGCATAAACAAGGAAGGTCCTTCAAAACCCCCACTTTTAGAAATGCAACAATCAATTTCATCATGTTTGGGTTAGATTTCAGACAAGTGAGCAGATCTGGAAGATACTGGCATTCATCCCTTCTATGTTTGAAGACTGGATTTTTAAAGATGCATCAACTCCTTTACCTCTTCCTCAATTTCAGCATAATTTTGGTAATTTCAATCACAGCAAAACACCAGAGCAAGCAATTTTTGTACGACACAACACCAGGATAGTTAAGTACTTCACATACACTCAATCCACATCCCCCACGGTCAGACTGTGCTCCGCGGGGCCAAGCTGACACCTGCAGAGCTGGAGGATGTAGCTGGTCATGGATGGATGTAAATGAGTAGAAGTCAGCTCAGGTTCAGCACTGCACTTGAACAGTCTTCAAAACCCAGAAAGCAACGTAATGTAGAGACCAGAGTTGTACTGTAGCAGTTAACGTGGGTACAGCTGAGGATTTTAGTTATGACAAAGTATTGGCCACAACAGATGAGGCTTACTTGGTTCAAGAAACACAGGGATGTTTGTACCATGCTCCCCAGTATCATTTTCTTCATAACTGGACTCATCCAAGCTCCCACCACCTCTGCCAAAACCAGTTGTTCTCAAACCTTGACACTGGTTTCCTCTAGCCTCCCTATTCTTGGAAATACAAGAGTTCAGTGCACACAGTGCTAAGGGAGCGGGGACGGTGATTTGGGAACCAAAATTTGCAATAACCTACAGGACTCCTCAGATCAGCTGACAGCACGTGTTTGCCTTCCACATGGTCCTTAAATCGGCGTCGGGCTTCTTCTAATGTTGCCTTGTGCCCAGCCTTTCCTAGTTTGCCCAAGACCAGACCTCTCAGAAGAGCATCTAGATGACCTAATGAGTAGGAAGAAAAAAAAAGAATAAAAATTTGGAGACACGTTTCAGCAATGAATTTAATTAGAAGCGTTTTTCTATCTAGAGTGATCAGGGCAGAGCTTTGTAACAATCCTTCCACATGCTTGAGGATGTCTAAAGGAACTAGGCCTGTCCTCGCTCTCCTTGGTGCCAACTGGAGAATAATTTGATATTTTTTTTTTACAGCAAGAGAGTCAGGAGAAGATGATTCCAGCCCAAACACAACAGGCTAGGCCTGTAACCTGAGCTAAGTCAGTAGGGAAAAGTTTTACCATTTTAACTTGTGCTTGATAACAGAGGGTTGTTTCGGGGTTTTGTGTTTGCCTGCTGGTTTTAAGTATGAAAATACCCCTAAATGACTACTTCAGACTCCTCTTTCTCCCTTCTCTCCCCTTTCCCGATGGCTTATTTACACACTGAGTTTTCCAAAACCACTACTGGATTTCCCAGCATAAGTTTCCTACCCTCTCCAGGTTTGGGGTCCCATCCCAGTCTCTCCCCTATGGGTGAGAAGACATCTTTCACGAACACCTGGATTTCCTCATAGAAGTCTGTGTGGGACAGGAGAGTCGAGAGGATCCCCAGGTTACAGCTGAGGTCGCTCCACACAGTGTAATTGGGCTCATTCACAAAAGCTTCCATGACTTTTAGAACCTCTACAGTGCTAATGATTCCAGCTCGGGCCTGGGAGAGGAAAAGACAAGAGATTAATCTTACTTCCAAGCAGAATTAAGTCATTTAATCGCTCATCACATCATTTTACAGCCTTCCCTGCTCAGTTTGCACAGCCTGCTCATAAACTTTTCTCTGTTGTGGGGTTCTGCCGAGGTGAGTTAACACCAGTCAAGGCACCTCAGCTGTCTGCTCATGGCACACGATGCTTTTTATACCCAGGTAAGCACTTCACAAGGAGACAGCTGTATAATTATAAGCACGTTTTGCAAACAAGAAACAGACAAAGTGATTAAGTGACTTAACAAAATTGCAGCAATGCTGGCAAGAAAAAGCAAACCCCCAGAGTTATTCTCAGCCAGATATTACACCCACCAAAATCTTATTTTAACTAAAAACCGTAAAGATTTAGAGATTTCATTTGAGACTGCAAAAGTCATTTTTGCTTCCTGCTTCCCATGAATCAGTACAAGTAGTACTGCCTTTCCAACTCTGCCAGGAAAAGTTTATATTAACTGCTTCACAGCATCATGAAAACCCTTCTGAGCTTGGTGCAGTTGATAATACCTACAGCAGGTGTCTGCAAACAGATTGCTCAGATTTTGGTTAATCTGGAACCAGGCCAGTAATTTATGGTACTGGAAGAGAGGTGAAGATCAATTTTTATTATCTAAGCTATCACCACCTATGATAAAAACATGATTAAAACCAAAGCCAAAATAGGAACGTTGTGTTAGAATCCTGTCTGCATTATTTACTCATTTTTTTGTCCCTTTGGTCCTGCAATAGTTGGGAAATGACTCAGGCTACAGTTTCAAACTCTTTCAACTAAGTCATGACAAGAGCTACAAGCTTTGAAGCTAGAGAGGCAGAGCATCAAAACCACATTTTTAAAAGCTTCCATATACTTGCTGACAAAGAATAAAGCACAACCTGAAATAGAGAGTACAGTAACTAATTGTTCAGAGCTAACAACACCTGTTTGGGGGTAATTCCTTGCTTTTAAACATAAAGAATCCCCAACAGCCACCTCCTCCAGCAGAGGACAGTTCTAACAAGCCCAACTGAATGAAGCACATGGTGCTGATAGTATTTGATAAAGTCTTTGAGGGGATCATTAAAATATCCTTCTTTTGATGAGTTAAAAGAAAACAAGTTCTCAAAATACTTAATTTTGTCAAAAAACCCTACGGTATAATACACTCCTAGAGAGAACTGTGCAACAGGAGTCACGGACAGCCTGCTTCCGTAGGGTTTAAGTCTTAGAATACAAGTTAGGACTTGTCAAGCTAATTAATAGTTAGATGTATGCAGCAACCCCAAAGGCACTTTGCCTCCAGAAGCCAAGGCTGACTCTTCAGACACCAGTTTCTGCAGCTCTCACCATTACAACAGCAACAGGTTGCTTACCAGAGAGAAGAGATCATTCTGCAGGCCAAGCCTGTCCACAGGGGGTAGGGAGAGGTCTTTGATCGCTGGTATTAAACTCTCCAGCATGTCAGGGCTATACTGGGTACGGTAAAACCCTACTGTTCCAAGGTTTAACTGAAATGTACCAGAAGAGTAAAAAATTAAAAGTGAAGAACAAATAAGGAAATGCTTTGTTATTTTTGAACCACTAGAAATTTCTCAAAGCATCGCAGCTCAGAGAAGTCAGTCACTATCATTTAAACAGAAAGAAAAAACGAATCGTAAGTAAGGGAGAAAGACTTGAGATTTCAAAGAAGAAATGCTCCCTAAGAGGTATAGAAGGCCAGAGAGCTGACAAAGAAATAGAGGCTGGAGTTAAAACTAGGAGCAAGGAGAAAAGAGAAACTTCTCTTCTAGGGGTAACTCCTAACTGAAGCAATGCACTGAGAAGATAAAAGGCAGGAGACTGCAGGTAACAGAATTTTAACTTTTGTAACCTCTCTCCCACATCCTGCTCCATTCGATTTTCAGAGAGGGAAGGAGAGCAAGCACCTCTGGCCAGCATAAAAGCAAGCCATGGCCAGTAAGCTTGATGAACTACACTGGCTACACGCTGCTACCTACCAGCATTTTAGTGCAGATGGTCAAATCTTGTGGTTGGTTGAACAACAGCACCAGGCATAAACCAAAAACATTGCTGAGCTCATCAGGAGGTCACCCCCTTTGCTGCTGCCGTGAGTTTGGTCAGTCCAACTGCATCCTCAGGACTATGGCACTAACTAAAAACCTCACAGACTGGCAACCTTTGCTGCCAGCAGTCCCACAAATTCACCTTGGACTGAGCTGGATTGCTGCCTTCTCAGGCAGAAATAGCAAAATTTACCCTCGTTTAGGCAGGGCCTTTTCAGAGCTCATTCCTTTCATGCCCTTCTCTACTACCAGGGAGGACCCAGACAGACGTGGTGATTCAAGGGAACACGCAGGCCTGGCAGATGGAATGCCCATGTTAGTTAAATAGGAAGATTTGATTAATATTTGAAAAAAAGAGACTAACCCTTAGTGTTATTTCACGGAGTCACCTCTCAGAGTGTAACTCCAGCTTAGAAACAGTTACTCCTCAGCCTCCATAGTTCATACAGCAACAATCCCAGCCAGCTGCTGTCTAACAATTTTTAAATTCAGTTTGACTGGTGGCTGCAGGAGACTGCAACAGTGAATTTTTTCACTTGCAGATTTGTACTTGTCTGGCAATAGCCAGCAGAAAACCTTCACGCTAATGAAAAATAAACAGGACGGACTTTAACTAAACTGTGGTTGCCATGGGATACCAAAAAAGCCACCACATTTCAACTCAAAAGCTGCCTCTAATTGCACGCTGTTTTTCCGAGCTCAGACTCCTAAAAGGTTCAAGTTTATATTGTCTAGACTACTCTTGGAAGGAAAAGGACTGCACTAAGCAAGCATTACAGAGAGCAGCCAATACTCAATAGCAGCACAGAGAGTCCCCTCCATAAGAAATAAAAGATTGCAAGGGGAGAGAAGAAAAAAAAATTTAAAAAGAGAGAGCAAAGAGAATGAAATGCAAGGGAACATTACAGAAACAAACTTCTTCCCAGTAATATGTTCTCCGTTGTGACAACTCACCTTCACCCACTGGTCTGGTTTGATGTCTTTCAAAACCAAGGTGAGCTCTGGTTTGTCCATCAATATTTGCATTTTGGCACAGGTGGGGTCATCACTTGTACAAATGCTTATGGGGACCATCCACGTGGGGAAATCCTCCCCTAAAAGAAGAAACAATAAAACAAAAGAAGGCCTAAGAAAAAAAAAGTATGCACACAAGACCAAGAAACAAGTTTCAGCAGCAGTTTAAGCAAGGCTGCTTAAATTTAAATCTAAAAAGGCACAAATCTGAAGGAAAATAGCAATTCTAGAGTTGAAAATGAAGAATCTCTGTATCACCTTTCAAGCCAAATATTTTAATTTCCATAAGAATGGAAGATGATCGGAATCTGTCTTAAGATAGAGCTGGCTTCTATATGAGGCATTTTTACTTCAGCACTACTGTAAAACCAGCAGCTTACAGAGCTCCTGAGATAGCAGCACTGGTTTTAAACTGGACATCAGAAAAAAGGCATCTCAGAAGGAAAACTGAACCACAGACTGCAGAGGAACGCTGTTCTCCATGTGAGGAGGACATGGAAACCACACATGTGAGAACACTCGACCTTAAATTTTCTGAGGTTTTAACAAATATTAAACATCTGACTCCAGGCAGAGCAACTGCCTGCTCCGCAGCTGCTTCATCTCTCAAACTTGCTGCCGTCGTGTGAAAAGCAGCAAACACTCCACTCCTGCTCTTAGCACTCATCTTACCAGTATATGGTCCACTGGCACAGAATTTCTTCTGGACTAACTTCAACACTTTGTCTTCTTCTTGCTGAGGGGAAAAAAAAAAAAAAAGCAAAGAAAATGAGAGAGGGAAAATATCAGAACATCTAATCTCAGCTTCTGTATATCACAATACATTCATGTGCCTTCTCCAACAGAGTAACTTGTATTCTCCTCCAGGAAAAAGGAGCTACCTCAGGAATCATTCTAATGCATTAATCACTGTTACTGCTGAAACATACATGCCCTACTTCTCGTTTGAATTTGTGTCTGCCTTCAGCTTCCAGCCTGTCATCCTCCCTCACCCTGCAATCTTGTCGAATAAGCATAATTAAACCGGAGTGGGAAGCAAAACGCGTGGCAAAGGGAGCTAAGTCAGAGATTCCCTCCCCCAACACGCATCTCACACACAAAGAGCAGAGGGGCTACGTCAGCAAACTCCAAGCACATGATCCAGGGTGCTCGTGGAACAACTCCGTATCGCTTTGCACCAGGTTCCTCAAGTGAGCTGCACTTCCCCTCCCTTCAGAAAGAGATTTCTCACTAAACAAGTCAACCCACTGCACCCCCTCCTGATCAAAAAGATTTTTTTAAAGAATTGGATAGTATGAAGTTTGCTCCCAAAACACAGCGAAAGGCAGAACTTTTCATCTGAAGCGCTGAAAAACGCACAGTTGTATTTACCTGTTCAGCTTCCACATAAATGAGTGGAAATCCCATTTGTTTGGTCCATGTGTTCATCACAGCAGCAATAGGTTTACCACTAGCTTTCTCCAGGCTTTCCCAGAGGTCCTCTGCAGAAGAAAAGTCTGACTCAGGACTCCCAGAGTCGTAGCCTGTCGGATGCTATTAAGGACACTATACGGGCACTGGAGGGTGGGTGGGAGGCTGCATTATCACTCCTGTTTGCCCTTCATGTTTTGGGATGTGTTTTTTATCGAATTGCAACAGATGTTAGGCAATACTACTGAAAAACCAGATTGCAATCAATACATGTTGTGATAAAGTATAATAAAAACGAGCGTTAAATATTCAAAATGGTAAATAGAGGAATCTTGTCCTTGGGTTTTTCATATATCATGCCAAAAGAGCTGACTGAACAACATGGACTGGTTTTGCTGATAGAGCATGATGTTCCACTGAGACACACACAAAAAGTTTCAGTGAAGAAAGTGCTATGAGATGTTAGACAAGACTTGGAACTCAGAGAACCCCCAGAGGATGCTGAATTCTGCCTGTGCAGGGGACACGTTGTGTGAAACCGGACACAAGCCAATTATTTCCTTGTGTTTCAGTTATCTCAGGTGGAAAAACACAGCTGCTTAAGAATCTATCACTTTAGCACTAAAAATTGTCTCCAGAAATCACTTTTCTTAAGCATATAATAACCACCAGTTACCTGTAGCCGCATTCTTCTCCTGGAACTTCGTTAAATATAAATTCATTCCTTTCCGAAAGTCCTGGGAACACACAATCGAACATGTAATGGCACCAGAACAGAGGTGCTTTCTGTCCTCCCTCTGCACTGCATTTATATTCAAGAATCAGCCAAGGAATCTTAGGATCAGTATGTACATTTGTAACAACTTCCATATTTCCCCACTATCTTATTTCTCCTAAGTTCAAATACAGCCCAAACACAAATTGGAGAAAAAGTTTTCAAACTACGGAACACACATTTAAGTATATTTTTAAATGGTATTTTTAACTGTAAAAAGATTTGACAATCTACATTTGGCTTTTCCAACAACAACCTTTTTACCTCGTCACCAATGTAGTCGTGCAGCATTCGGATCACGGATGCTCCCTTGCTGTAAGAAATAGCATCGAATATTTCATCGACTTCAGATGGATGGCCAACACTAACCTGTGGTAAACAAGATCATTAACAGTGAGAAGAATTTCAACTGCCATTAAGATGTTGATTTTGCTTGTTCTAGTGTTGAAGGAGCTGACTTTTCTCGCTGAAAAAGTGTGTGCATATCCATCACTAAATCGTCTTGGTGGAATCTCTGCACCCAGTCAATCAAATTTATTCACATACAGCCAGGTCAGGATCAGTTTATAGGTTAAACAGACTTTAACAAAGCTTTTGGTGTTTAACCAAACAGACTTGGGGATCTTGCTTCAGTTCAATGCTTACCTAAAAGCAAAAAAACAGTGGAATTTTTTTAAATTCTGGGACAGCGAACAATACATACTCGGGAAACGCACTCCATGAGGAAGTCACTCTAAAATGACCTGTTGTACAAAGCAAGGTCATGTCCCAGCATCTCTCACATCAAACCTTTCCTAAGCCATCTGAAAACTCATCCATGGTGATCTCCAGGAATTACTAGGGAGTCTTCTTCTAGCACAGGTCTCAGGTTTGCTGTAGGTGAGCTCGCTGCTGCTGCCTTCTCTTCATCTCTGAACCACTGCCTTGTTTCCGGAGCAGCAAGCCTGGCTGGATCCTGCTAGTTTCAAGACTGTCTGCATCACACTCACAGTTCTGGGAGTACTACACAGAAGCACCCACGGCAGCTCAGATGGAGACCAACACAAGCCAAGCCAAGGTTGGTAGCGTGGGCTCTGGGCTGGGCTGCAATTGGGTTTACGTTCTTGAGCGCTGAAATAAGTCAATAGCTGCTTCGCTGTGCTCAAGGGCCAGAAAACTCCCCACTTTGATCAGAAACCAAACCAAAACACAAATAATGATGAGTTCTGATCACAACTTTGCCATTGCAAGTCAGTAGAGCAGAAAAACTCCAGAAGCTGCCACCTTCAGACCCTCAAACCTCACTTCAAGTAGAGGAAAATCCACAAAGTGTCAATGCAACCTTAGATTTTCCTTTGAGTAGTGAATGACTGCAAAGTCCCCTTTTCTTCATAGGGAAAAAAAAGCTTACACACAGCTGACAAGAAAAAAAAGGGAGAAAATCACAAAGACAGAACTTACTTCAATAGGGTGACTGTTGTCTAAGGCATCAAGCTCTTGAGCTCGTGTGTAGTCAGCAGAAACAAACTGAGTCCAGATATCGTACTCTGGGAAACAGTGATCTACACACAGGTACTCAATCCAGGAGGCAAATCCTTCATTCAGCCAGAGATGGGTCCACCATTCCTGGACAGAGAAGGCAGAATAAAGAATAAATTTAATCCACAAGAAGTTTGCAGCAAAGATAAGCTGTTAATGAAACAGGTAACAATTCTAAGCACAAATTCCTCTCTCAAAAGAAGTCATCAGCCCACGAGGAGTAGTGAGCACCCTGTGACTGTCTTCCTCTCTATCTTAAATTTTAGAAGCTTTGCATGGAGAACTGCATCAGGTACAAATGAAATTCCCAGAGACTAGACTAGGGAGGGAACGCTGAGGGAACAGCCATGAGTGTTACCTATAGATGAGGGAGACACATCAGTGCTGTGCAAGGCCAGGGTTCAGTAAAGCAGCAGCATTGTGAGCAACACAACGATGGTGTCTTTCCAAACTGAACAGCAGCAGCTGCAGGAGGCTGATTTTGTTTGGTTTTGGGTTTGTTTTTTTTGCTAAAGAGTATGTTTACATACAGGAGAAAACCTGGAATCTGAAACAGTGTCCTAGACTGTGGAAACCTGAAATCTAGTAAACAGTTAAAAGTTGTTTCTCACCAGCCAAAGGTGGGCTTTGTTTTTTTAAGATAAGAATGTTACACTGACATTTTAAAACCCTTCATTTCTAATATTTAACTCAAGCAGGCGAGATAAGAAAACAAGCTACGGATACTGAGGAAGAAAACACCCTTTTCCATAACTGCACTTACCAGCCGTTCTTTAAATGTAAACAGGGTGGTTAACTCTGGAGCATGGCATGATATGGGCACTCAGTGAAAGAACCTGAGCAGGGCACAGAATCAGCCCAGTAAGCTGTTCCACAAAGATCTACTGCTTCTGCTGTGAATGAAACATTTGCCCCAGGGAGGGTGGCATTTCAGTAAGAAAAGCTGTCGCTGAAGCTCTGCACAGATAAGCCCTGCTTTATTTTTAGGGTGGAGACTCTCCAGTCCTCTTTGATTTCTGATTGCATCTGTTTGCAAGACAAGGTTCTGATACACACAGATCGGTGCCAAAGGATTAATACAACAATTAGGCTGGACTTCTAAAACTTTTCACCTCCCTGTTTTTCTCTCTTATCCCACTGGCAACCTAATTGCTCACAAATCTATTTCTTCCCCTGGCAGCAGTCTGATTTCATTTATCTCTGCCACAGAACTGGCATATTGTGCTGGCCAGTAAGATCTGGTACTGGCAAACTAAACCAGTGGTGCTATCGAGGGTTTCTGCTGTGCTGTCTGAGCCTCAGATTGTAGCAGAGAAAGAGCTGACTTTCTGGAAATTGAGAGGTGACACTGGAATGTCTCTTCGTATTTCACAGCTGCATCACAACATAAAAGACTGCGAGAAAAAACTCTTAAAGAAGATTTCTGGAAGACTTAGAACTTCAAAAGGAAAATAAAAAGCTAATTCAATATACATTTTAGAGATTCTTGTAAATGATACTTTCTCAAGCTCACTGCTGCAGTTCTCAATGGTCAGAAGGACCACGGATGGTTTGTGGGTCACTGATGGTCCCCAAGGCACTTGCTAGCATCCGATAGTGCTGTCCAATCACATGATGCTGGCTCTCCTTGCTTCCAGCTGCTGAACTGTACTAAAAGCTAAAAATATATTACTTTTCCATTTAAATATTGAGTTCCTCTCGCATGGAAGCTACCTGGGCTACCACAAAGAGGAATGGACACAGCTGAGAAGATTTTCAGAGGCATGGCACTGCAGAAAAGTTTGACAAACTTTGCTCAGTGTTACAATTAATATTTACCTCCCTCCACTCACACTTCATTTAAGCAGCCTAAAAGCCAGAACAATGCTGATCTGGGGTCCAGAAGCCACGCTTTTTTACCAAACACACGGGTTTCTTACAATACAAGAAACCTCCTGCCCTGTGAAATATTTGGATTTAAGCATCTGTTTGCAGGGTTTTGGGAAAAAGAACGTCAGATCTAATTAACAGAGTAAGCTGAAACCATTTGTTAACAGCAGAAGCTCTGGCAGATTTAGTTTTCAGTTTTTAGCACTAAATGGAATTTATTTAGAGATTTCAGTCTTGCTGCCTCAGATATGCTTTTATTCTCACCAAAACGACTTAAATATCAAACCACTCAGACAGCTGGCTCCCCATATATCCAAAGTAATTCATTGAGTTATACTGAGCAATTTTCAGCTGCTGGACTAGAACAATTTGCAATGCTGAGCTGGTACTGACATGCCTGCTTGGTGTGAAAGCCTGATGAGTGAATTGGTTTACCAAATTCGTGCCTACCTGAAAGGAAAAGAGCAGATTATTGCTTCTAAGTAATCCAACTAGCCAAAATAATTTCTGTGGAACACTTGCTCAACTCTAACTAGGACGATATCCAAACAACTGAACATTACTTCACACAGAAAAGATCCAGGAATACGTCTAAAGAGCACACTAGTAAATAAGAAAGTGGTAATAAAATACTATTTAAATACTTATTTTTTTTTACTTTAAAGATAGCATGCCAGCTATTAAGGGGCACTTGAACACACCCGATATAAAACACACGTCAAAGAAAACTAAAAACTTGTAAGTGTTAGATACCATGGTCACAAGGTTTCCAAACCACTGATGAGCAAGTTCGTGTCCTACAACCAGAGCGACCCACTGGCGAGACGAAGAACAGGAATTTTTGGGGTCAATGAGCAATGCAGTCTCCCTGTATTTAAGAGAGAAAGATAACTGAACAGTGGTCCATGCCGAGGGAAAAAACACAATCAAAAGTAGGTTAAATCACCTAAGTAAGCTAAAAAGTGATCAGTACAACTGAAAAAACAAACCACAACGCTATTTCAGTTTAGACATTAAAGTATTTTGGTAAGTTCCACAGCTGTTGGAATGCTTTGGAGCAGTGATTCCTTACAGCATGCAAGAAGACAGGTGCAAAAACCCAGGCAGGAAGAAGAAAGTTTATCCCTTATCTATAAAATAGCTCACCTACATAATCTAGGAACCTCAACCGTAGCTCCCTGGGCACTGCACGATGTATGCACAGCAAGCCTTCCCTGGCTCCCTCATCCCCACAGGAATTCCAGCTCTTCCAAGCACACAACCAGCCGCGTTACGCTCACCACTGCAGATGCACACGATTCTCCACGCAGGGCACACGTGCACACACGCACACGCAAGTGCTCCCTCGGTCGGGCAGGCAGCCTTCTGCTAGAACCAGCCCTGTCGTGACTGGGACACAGTGGGACTGCTGGAGTGCTGCAGCTCCAAGGGGGGAAACGTGCATCTCGACACATGGGTGGTGCCTGCGGGTTGTGCCAACCTTCTGTCCCCAAAGGGATAAAGCAAGCGTGCCAAACTGTGGGTAAGGGGGCGGGGGGGTGGAAATTAACAGCACAATTAAGAAAGGCTTCCAAAAATTCTACTCGTCCAGGACAAATGTTTTTTTTCCACAGGGAGTAAAATATCAGATTTCATCAGAACTGCAATAAGCAGACTAGTAGATTTTAAACCTGGGCTCGAATTTCCATTTCAGATTTTTAAGGCCAAATTAAAAGTTTAGCAGAAGAAATTAAAGCCTTTTTGGGATTTGAAGTCCAAAGCTTACAAGATCAATGTTGTACAAAATGAAGGAAAATCATTCTAACAGTGAACACAGATAATGTAATAATATCAAGCAAAAGTACAAAAGCTTGATCAGATGATAAAAAAAAAAAACCAACTGAAAAGGAAGGCAAGTTAATACTTTTGATTTACTCATATCCACATGGTTATACTGTGGTTGCTAAATTTACCAACTTGCCTACAACATAAAATAAAAAGCTCTTCCAGCTGTGTCAGTAAGTACGTAACTTTTACAGGAAAAAGCAGCCAAGAAAGTTCTCTTGCAGAACAGGCAGTGCTGCCAGACACACAAAAAATCTCACACCCTTGGACAGTAGTTGTAATAACTCATTCTTGCCTTCCTGAGATTTGTACAACAATGCACGCTGCTGCAGAAGCCAAAATTATCCAAACCGAAGCAAGAGTTGAAGGTATTTACTCAGTCTTATTTGGGATGACACCCCAATAATTACAGCTCCCTAAAACTAATCCAGTTACTTCCAAGAATTAGTGAACAAAGAGGGGGAAAGACAGGATTTTAACAGCATACCTATAAGTAACAAGGCCCCAGTTCTCCATGGCACCTTTATAAAATAAATACAAAGGTTTATTGATATGGATACACACCTCTTCCTAAATGTTTAAAATTCAAATAAAATACAGTTCATCAATAAAGTGAGTTACTTTACCAGCAGCAAAGTCTGCAATAGCTATGAGATCAATTTTAGGAAGAGGGTAAGGAACATTGAAGTAGTCCTTATAAAAAGGCAGAGTTTTAGCAGCAACCTGTAAGGAATAAGAGAAGTGTTACGTTAACTTGGAATGATGAGTAAAACTCGAGAATTTATGACTGAAACTAGCCTAAGAAAGCAGCATACACAAGATTTCTTCCAGAAGCCCCATTCCCAGCTTCCAGAGCACAATGGTTTGGAAGACTCCCATCCCCTTTTTCTCCCAGGGCTGTAGCCTACCCTTCAGTACTCCTCCTCATCTTTGGACCAAAGTCTACATCACCAAGTCAGAACTGAACTGAACCACATGTTTCCACCATTATTTGCCCACGACTGGAGTGCAGTTTAACATCAAGCACGGTCTCTCTGAGCCATTAAAGCCAAAAAAAAAGACCCTCAGGGGCTTCCCACGAGTTCAGGTGACCTAACAGGAGCGCTACGCCCACCCTTCGGAGACCACCACGGCAATAATGAGCATGAGCTTTAATAAGGCCAAGTGCAGAGTCCTTCACTTGGGGTATAAAAACCCCAAGCATCGCTATAGGCTCGGGGAAGAGTGGCTGGAGAGCTGCCTGGCGGAGAAGGACCTGGGGGTGTTGGTTGACTACCGGCTTGATATGAGCCAGCAGTGTGCCCAGGTGGCCAAAAAGGCCAATGGGATACTGGCGTGTATCAAGAACAGTCTGACCAGCAGGAGCAGGGAAGTGATCCTGC